ATCACGTTCTGGAAAGTCTATCCAGACGTTGAAGAGAAGAATGAAGTAGTCGAATACACAAGAGCTATAAGTTTAGCGCGCGTGCTTGTCTTTCTGAGTATCTGTTGTGTGATTGTTTCCCTGCACTGTCACCGTAGAATATCCAAAAATGAATAATGCCATTGGCATATTTGTCATGCCAAAGCCTGTCACACTTGTTCCAAACTTTTATCTCCACGAGATCACAATACCATCGTTTCTGTTGTAGTGACACTGCAGACTCTATACTGGTTTTGCTTTAGTCTTTGTAAGGGGGACGCTGTAGTCCGATTCTACACATCTATGGTGTACTAGACGGCACCATATTTGCAGATCTAGTCTTCGGTTTTTGTAGTTCCACCGAAATATATTTCAGCTTTTAAGTTATTTGTTATTTGGCATGTACATTTACAAGCTTATCTAGATCGAAGGCAGCAAATATTTTGCCAGCACTCATGGCACGCGTTTGAAGTATATTGCGTTAACATAATTGACCAACCTCTGATTTTTATTTGTTAGTTCCTCTAGCGAATTGTGCATGCTAGGATTGCTTTTCTTTGTTTGTTTCACATAATCTACGGCACATTTTTCACCTTTCTACTCAGTGCAGCCCTCGCCGAACAGAAGCTAGCATCGACCAGGCCGAGGTTCAGTCCATGGCAGTGTGCAAAAGTTGTTGATGGGTAAGCTGCCTTATATATACAGCTGTTAAATGCAGCTTGTCTTGGGTGACAATTTGAAATGCATTTTTATGTTCTAGAAAGTGAAATTTGCATGGGCATACTTGCTATGTGAAACTTTACCAAGCCTGTTCGGAACTTTCATCCTTTTGAGATTTCAATACAGCCGCTTGTGCTGCACACGCACTGGCTACTTTGGCCAGACAGAGACTTGATCCATATGAAGGTAAACAGGCGAGTATCAACGGCTCAGTTCTGTGTGTGGTGACGTTCTCTCCTTATCCGACGACTTACCACACTTGGTTCGCAAGGCATTTGAAAAGGAAAGCAAGTCAGCTGCTGGATGATGCTCCCAGTACTGAGCAGTCGACGATTGCTTGTTCACCTTTGTACAGATCACGACTGTACTTCAAGCTCGGCAAGCGTGACACTTATCTGATTCAGCTTAGCAGTGGTGTGCTGAGCGGTATGTGTAGAGCTAGTTGACTTGTGTATAGACAGTGGCTGTGCGGTATAAAACAGACCCAATTGGGAACTTTAATGCAATCTTTTGTACTCCCATTGATGTTATGATTATGATTACACAACGTTTTATGGTGCAAAAAAAAACGCGATGTAATCGTTTTTTGAGACTGCGTGTGCGATCTCCAAGCTTGTGTTTGTACGTTCTGTGCGGTGAAATGCCCTGTATAAGCAAAATTAGAGAATCCTTGAGCTACATGCTGCAAGGAGTGAAAACAGCAGTCCGCCCGCATTCTCCCCTCTTCTGTATACAGTGCAAATGCAGACGGACGCGCACTTTGGATGCTTTGCACTTAAAGGCCCCACATAAAGCACACTGTTTAATACACATCAATTATTGTGAAGTGTTTGCGGATTTGGCTTTTAAATGTCATGCACATAGGAAGCACAATGGTGATGTAAAGTATGCCGAAATCGTAATGATGCACTTTAAGGTTTTACAGGGTATGTTCTGCAAAATGCGGGCCAAATTGTTTGTGTCAAAACTTTACATCGCCCAAAAAAAGGTCTTGTGTTGTCCTAGGCCAGGGGCCTATTTAGAAAAATTATTACAAAACAATGTAGCTAATAATGTGTATATCTGCTGGTTATTGTTTTTTTTTCTTCCAATTACGGCATACACGGAGGGTATCTCCAAGGAGAAGGGGTGGGATTATGTAGAGAAGCTAGTGCTTCTCTCTATGGGTACAAAGCTGTCCAAGTTCCGCCTGGTCCCGAGCAGCCACAATAATGAACACAGAATTCAGAAAAATAGTAATATGAAGGACCTAGGCAGGCAGCCACACATTTTGAGTTCGCAATGACATTTCATTATGATCACAAATATCCCTGCATTGCTCAAAGTCGCATAGTTTACACACCATATTGGTTATTGTTAGCGCAGCAGGAATATTTTTTATCAGGCTTAAACGTCATTTTTAATTGAACAAATGTGGCCTTCTGTGTAAGTCCTTTGTGTTTTTACTCTTTTTTTATTTGTGTGTTCGTTGTTTCACTTTTTCTTATGATTTAGTCCGGGTTTCTGTTACTTATGTGTTCATTATTTATTAATTTTTTTCTTTATTAAGTTTTAGTTGAAAATATGATGCCCTCGTCATTTTCCAGTCCGGGAAACGGTGGTGACCTCGTCGTGTTCAAGGAGCAGTAATGAACTTTTCATCTTGTATTGCTTCTGGCGAACAATGGTGTCTGTGCGTGTGTGTGTGTGCGACGTGTTGGTCACAAGGGATGATTTCGGGACTGAACGGAAAAACAAGGCCAGCAAGGAGCGACTGGGGGACTTTGAACATCGCACGGTGCAAGGAAGGACTTCAACGACGAGGCTAGCAAGCAAGCCCATGTCAAAACTGCTGTGCTCGACCGGAGAGTGTAATCAGAACTTTACCCTGTGAGTAAGGATCAACGACTTTGGAAATTTCGTATAGTTTACAGCTTAATTGTCACCTTCCTTTTGTTTTATTTTAATAGGAGTCTGTGTGCTATTACATTTTTAGTTTATTTTAATGGTTGTTCGTATGATATTACTATTATTTTTTCTTGAACGGCGGAAGTGCTTGTTTGGAATTTTGGCGCTTTTATGTATAAAACTTTTTTTGCAAACCATATCTGTCTGCTCCATCGACAACCAATCCCGCCAAAGGGCTGTGACTTTCAGACGTCGAATGATATGTTACAATGTTTGCTAACTAGCGATCGCCTGCATTTGATTTTTGTAGCATACATATTTGTCGGAATTACAAATTTCGAACCAGGCCACTAAAGATTGGTCAGTGGCCTATTCTGCCGATGTATCTACGTAAACACACGTTTGGCAGTGTGGGATAGCAGTAAAATGTATATTTTGTGGATATTCATGGAAATGCATTATATGATCCCACGTCTGGACCTGAAAGTATGGTACCTGCCCCATGGCAATAATTTTAATGTGATGCTAGAAGGAGCATCACATGAAAATTGCTTTATATGAGGTGGGTACCCTATTTGCCAGGCCCAAACACGGGATAATATAAAGCAGTCTATATATGGTATATAAGGAATTGGGCAGATGTGGTCATATCTGCCCAATTCCTTATATATCCATATCTGTATTTTCATTATAAGTCTAGATATGACATTTTTGTAAGGGATGGCTTGTAGCATCAGCTGCAGTACATCGGAAGGTGAAACAGTAGGTGTGTCACTCTTTTAAACTACTTCTATTATATTCAGGTGTTGCCTGATACGGTTTAATATACGGTTAGACCCACTCCGGTGAAGCTCTACGGATTGGCCAGATACGGTTCAGCTTCCGCTTCGACCAATTGCGGTTGGGTTTCCGGACTGGGTATTTCCGGTTCAGTTACGGTTTCTAGAAATCCGGTTTGCTTAGGGGCCCATATGACGGATTAAAATTCCGGATTCATTCCGGTTTATTTTTAAACCGTTTTCTTTGGTAGGGATCCTAAAAGGATAGCGAGATGTTACTTATGAAGTGCGTAAGAAGTATACTAAAATGCCTCTTACAGGTATGCTTAGAAGTGTACTAAAAGTATGGCGAAATGCTACTTTTGAAGTGCGTCAGAAGTATACTAAAAACCGGCCAATTTAGAGCATCAAGCATACTTCTGGAAGTGCAAATAAAGTATACTCTAAGAGCCCTGGTTTTTCGCTAAGGGATAGACAGTTCAAATTCCTCAGTTACCCCGCTATAAGTCCTAGAGTTGTATTCACAGTGCTTGCGTTTGCTCTGGCATCCAACACCCCCCCCCCCCCATTTTCTCCCACACTAGGTGGCAGAAACACTGGTCTTATTCTGCATGTGGCTGATTATTGAAAGCCTTTTGGCGTTTCAATTTAAGTAAATGCACATATTGAAAAGAAGCTTATTGCCTAATCAGGTCCATGAGAAAATTTTGAAGTGTGGGATATATGAAGTTTGCTAGACCTATGGCGGACAATATTTACCCTCCAAATCAAAGCAGCACCAAATGTGTCGGCCATGAACCCATGACAACTTCAGATGAGACTAATGACAAATGCATAAAGCATATGATACTTACAGAACGACCCGATACTATGACCCAGAAAGTTGAACAAGCTTACGTGAACACGCTTACAAAGAGATCTAAGATGCCAAAGAATCAATGGAAATAAAAATAGGAAGACTTGACTGATCCTGTCTGAAGTCTCAATGTTGGAATCGATAGCATGCATCGATGCTTTCAATCATGCTCTGCGGTGTGGCCACAAAACACACTTGAGTGAAGCTCCCAATCATTATGCTCTTAGGTGGACAAAAGGCTCACCTCAAACAGCTTTCAGCAATAAAAAGAAATTCCAGATACAAACATCACATGGTTTCCCCAAGAATAAAACATATAAACCTCCAACACCTTTAGGGGCTAACGAAACAACCAAGAACGCACAAGGATGAAGCACCTCATCCCAAAGTGAATGGAACGCCAAGGTGCAAAACTGAATGCAAAACACACCGCTCTTCTAAGCAACTAACACTACCTACAATTTCTTGGACACCTTTATGGTAAACCAAGAGCTAGAATATTAATTATAATTAGATGTGGTGCATCGCCTTCAGGATTGCTGGATGATCTGCAACTCTGTGAGCTCTTCAAGATTAAAGTGAGCAGAAATTTTTTACTTGGCCTGAAAATTTCTCATACTGTGTATCTTGTTCAGAGTTAAGCAATAACACCGTAGCTATCTATTAACACATTACGCCTAGAAGGTATCACTTACGTAAGACAAGAACGATTCAGACATTACCTATTGTTAGCGCCATTTTGTAAAAGAGACTTGCACAGTCTGCTCACTTTCCATGTGGCGCATCCATGAGTTCTTTCGCCGGGCAGGTGTGCCAGAGGCACATTAAGTCTCTCACACCGGCCTCCATGTCCACATCAAGGCTGTAACATTTCAGAAGTGTGGTCATGTGGCCATGCCCCTCTGCAGATTAACTGCTGTGGTGACATGTAACTCAACAGCGGTGGACTTCTCCTACCAGAACCCCAACATAAAAGGAACGAATTCCCAAGGGCAATGACAGAATGTGCGGAACTTCAACTGACCGGCTGTGGCAGCGAACCCTCTCCAAGTTCCAGCCGCCATTTCAGCAGGGACGACAGGGGGCACAAGCTTTGTCAGTAGCGACGATACCCCCACGAGCCAAAGTCCGTGGCAGCACCTGCGACTAAGAGCCCTCCCATAATCCCTGTCACCACTTCAGCTGGGATAACACGCAGCACAAATGATGGCGGTAGAGCCACCACGAGCCAGAGCTACATGGCAGCACCTGCAGCGGCGAGGCCCCCACGAGTATACCACTCACCATCTTGAATGGGAACACGGGGAGCGCAAGCGTTGGAGGTGACGACAGCGCCACCACCAAAAATGATGTGGCAGCACAAGAACCAGGTTCTAACGACAACGGCCGCTGACATCCGAGTCAACTCGGTGGCTGTCCAACCAAGCAGACGTGACGCATACCTGAGAAGGCAAATAATGTTTGGTAGTAACTGAAGTGGCCAAAAAGCTGCCAAGCAAAACTCAACATTCAACTCTAATGATGAGCCACGCTGTTTCGACTATGATCGACATATGTCTGCGAATCGCTCTAAACCGCAGAAGTTTGAAGGCTGCTCAATTTTAATGGACATGGACAATTAATGGACAATTTTTGTGTGCAGGCAACAAACTGCCAACGAAAACAGTGATGAAAGGTCAAGTGAGTTACTCCAATACTGCTAAATAAATAGGACAGCTTACCATCAACTTCTATTCATATCTGCCATTAAGCCTGTACCTCGGCACTGTAGGTGATGTCAGTGGTGTCTTCTCAGGGAAGTCAAACTAGTAGTTCACTGAGCAACTCCTCCTTGACCAGGCCTGCAGCGATTATAAATGTGAAGAACAGATATATTATGTTATATAAATGACACAAGATAGAAAAGGCACAAACAATACCATACATTCCAAGTTTGGGGACACCAAATTCGGGATAATTTCTAAGCAGGGGAGGGAGGGGGGGGGGGTTAGCTGGTGTTTTAAAAAGAAATATTGACAACAAATTTACATGGAGACAACTTCATTACATTTATATATTGCACTGCCTATGCTCATGGGAATGCAGCCGTCCACTTTGATGGCAAAAACTCTTCTCTCAGTACAGAAGAGAGGGGGAGGGTAATTTTTCTTTTCCGGGATGTTTTTCTGTCAATCATACAAACTGATCAAAATTTAAGAGACTTCTGGGTAATACTGGGAACTTGGCAGGTATGCAATACTAAAAAGACAGTTTGCTACCGGCAATGGCAAAAGAAAATGCAGGTTGGATCAGCTATGCATAAAGGTACTTTGAACAACATATACCATATAGAGTGTACTCACGCAAGGCTAGCGAGCGGTGCACTCTGGGTTCATCACCGTATTTGTGTTCGTGAAAGCAGACAGCGGAGCGCGCACAGCCTCACGGGCCACGCTATGCAGCGAGTCTTTCTACGGTTCAGGTGACACCACGCATGAAAAAGATGTCACTCTTGTGCAACAGTCTGCTGTTGCACAAGGAAAAAATTTGAAACTAAATAAAAAAAGACGAGGACAGGAGGCGTTGCAGACTCACAGTTTCTGCAAATCCCGAATCCGAAGATGCGTGCAAAATGGTTTGGACACTCCCCTTGAAACGAGAATGACTCACTTGCATCATCGGGCAAAGCCCACACAAAAATCATGACAAGTGGAGAGTATGTGAGCATGTTAGTGAAGTTGGTCAGTGCCTGTCTCTTTTTGTGGGGCTTGTGAATTTCCACATGGCAGCACCTCGGGCCACGGAAAATTGGCGTCGTGGAGTTGGGGCGACGCCCTGTCATAGAGGTGACTTCGGATGCGGAGACGGAGCGTAGAGTTCCTGAGGAAGCAAGAATCGAGTAATCTGTGTGGGGGACTGCCAACACTTGCGGTGACGCTGCTTTTTTTAATGCGATAGCATTATTTAGCTACTTCACCCGGAGTTTACGATATGGTATCTGGCCTCGTAACAAGAGGAAGAGGTAAATCTGCGCCGAGTGTATGCAAAGCGGCAGTACACACTTTTTCACATGTGCACCCTATTCGAAGGTGGCACAGGATGGATGCGAACTCCACCCGATTGGCTGTGGCGAAGGAGGTAAATCCGCGCCTAACATACATGATGTGGCTTTTGACTTCCATCGTCCACCGCAGGCGATCGACCAGACAACCCGTAGGGGTTTTTCACCATCCAGAAAATGCCTCCGACCAGGACAGAGAAACATAGCTGGGCCGCCAGGCTAGAGCAGCGCTGAGAGCCCAAGAAGAACTGACGCGGGACGGGGCGCTCCTTATCTAGCTGGCAGACGAATAACAGCCAGCCCCTAAATGTGGTGCGTCAACTTGGCGAACGGCGGGTCAAGTGGCGCACAAGGGAGCGGCAGTATACATTTGCACCCATCCTACGAAGCGATCACTCAATTTCAAAGCGGCGCACTGACGTCAATGGTTGTAGTAAACCATTCATAAGTGTTTACTCAAACTTTGTGTCGTCGTACTCACAATGAGCTATGGCGTCTCACGATGAATGCTATCGCAATTCGACAACCAACAATAGCGGTTTCTGCAGCCTATTTATTTTTTCTATGATGTAGTTTTTAGCCCAGTGCAGGGGACACTGCAATAAAATATCGCTAGCGCTGGTGCGATACCTCCAACGGGATACTTGGCATCTACTTTGAAGGGTTCGACCACTGCTGTGGTTTACAGCAGTCGTGGGCAGTTTTCGACGTCGACTGGTTCATATAGGAGCACGTGGACGATGTGGAATTTTAACCGATTGGTTTGTTCATTAGTCAGAGGGAGAGAGTTGGAAATGTCAAAAAGAGGAACGAGGGAATAAAATAGGGACTTCACCTGAGGCTCTGGGGGGGTTTGAGATGGTCGTTTAAGTTGGGATTCGTGTAACTATGTAAATAAATGTATAGTCGAAGTAAAGCAGTGCAAGTTGGCACATCACTCAGCAACGTGCCTGCCACCAAGCCCCTAATGATCGGGGCTGAACCCTCCTCCACCAACACTGGGAAGAAGAATTATGTTCAGGGCACTTCATGTCGGGGAAGTGTCGGCATCACGGTTGGCTTTTTTTGTTTGGGTCAGGTCTCTCAAGCGTGCGTGTGTGGCCAAGATGTTTCTTGACTACCCAGTCAAAACTGTAGTCATCAAACTAATTTGCTGCAGCATCTGCACAATGCCGAATCAATAAAAAAAGAAAGAGCCGAGCAAGAGAATGGACAAAGCGTTAGAATTTTCACAGTGGCAGTTAACAGCAACCTTCAAATTGCTGGGAGGCAAAGACACGTGTGATCATAAAGGGTGATTTTTTTCGATGCCGATTTTCCAACATTCCTGCGGTAAAGAACTCCCATTCCAGTCTCTTGACCTTCTCGTTTGTCACAATGGAACTTTGGCTTCGAATAGGTTGAGCCCGCTATAGTGACATATTAAATCAAAATAATGTCGGACAAAAGTCAACCGTGCCGACACTTACCCGAGACGAAGTACATATTAAATCAAAATAATGTCGGACAAAAGTCAATCGTGCTCACACTTACCCGAGACGAAGTGCATACTAAAGCAAAATAATATAGGACAAAAGCCAACCGTGCCGACACTTACTCGAGACGAAGTACCTTGAACATACTCGACTTGCCGAAATCTTCACCAGGGTTTTTTCCGCTGAGGAGATTGTGAATCATTTGCGTTGCCTCCTCACGGAGAGCAACAACGCCTTCTTAGAGCTGTTTGTTCGGACTCCCAAGATTTCTAAAAACCAGGTGTCTGCAAAATCTGCTGTCCTCGGTTTTCTCCTTTCGAGTGCGACATTGTTTTCGTTCGTGACATCATCTGAAAAACAAGAAAAATTTGCATAGTATGGGCCATCTCGTCGAATGTGGCTTGTGCAGCTGTTCATATGCGGCCGCCTGCCATCACGGACACAAATATGGTGATGTACTCGAGAGTGCACGGCTCGCTAGTCGCGCGTGATTTTCATTTCATTCCATTCATTTCGGCTCAGGAGAGACAGGGGTGCGGCATATAGATAGCCTGAAGGCCCATACGAGGTAGCCTGCAACACACAAACTAAAAAAAAAAAGAAGGGGGGGGGGATAGAGGGGTAGATAACCAATCAACTCTAATAACAACAACACTATCCACAGTCGGAAATGGAAGTGAAACGTGAACAGCAGGCCGACAGCCCCCAGCGCCACGCCGAAGCCCGGGGCCCGCCAAGCTAGAGCCGAACACACCCAACTCGAATGTGCTCGATCCCAGCCCGGCGCGCTGCAAGCCCCAGCGGAGCGCCGGCGGTGCCCCGAGAACCGTCGACCGGCCGCCCGAGCACCATTCTGCCCCGACTGTACTATACTTCGTTTCAGCTTCGGTCCGAGCGCGGCCGATGTTATGGGCCGAAGGGCCAATAAAACACAAAAAAAAAGCGTAGCGTCATGGCGTGCTCTCTGCGCGTGATAAGACTAGCCGGCGGAGGAGCACGCACAGAGAGACGGCGAATACCGGCTGGTTCTATCAACTGCAGAGAGCACGCCATGACGTTGTGCCTCTTTCACTTTTTGATTGGCCCTTCGGCTCATAACATCGGCCGCGCTCGGACCGTAGCTGAAACGAAGTATATCTAGGACAATATGAGCTGAAACAGCGCTCTTACCGGCGCACGGTACTACCTGCGCTGCCTGTCGCCTTGCTCCGCACACACGGCGCACCCTGAGGCCGAGATAAATTCTCAGTTGCGCTCAATGCGCCACTGCGCTCTTCCGGCCGTCTGCTAGCCAGACGGCGTGTGCGACAGAGGGCGTGTGTGCGGTAGGGTGGGAGGGGGGGGGGGGGCAGAAGATTACCGTTGCCGTCTTTTTTTTTTGCAATTCATTTACTTCATTCTATCGCGTAGAATGAAGTAGAAGAAACGCTGACTGGGGAAGAAAAAATGTTGCGCTATCTTAAATTGCCGCTGCGATTATCGTTTTTCAAAGTCCCATCAAATTACGTTGCAGGTTGTTTTTATGTGATTAGGTGCATCTACAGAGTAGGACATCACAAAATATTAACCAAACTCTTTTTACCGGATTTAGGCCGGCTCCAATGTATTTCCTTCTTGCTCTTTTTTATCGAGCACAACTGTTTAAAAACAACGGTAACAAGACATGTTAATGCGAAGATTTTGTAACCTTGATTGGAATAAAAATGTTAAAGAATATTATCTTAGTATTACCGGGCCCACGTGTTTCTTTCAAACAAGAAAAGTTGACGACAAGACACCAGTGTTTTATTTATAAATTTCTAGTCTTAATAATGTGTGACAAATAGTCATATATTGGTCATGACAAGTAGCCTGAAACTTCATCGAAAGAATTTTTGCAGAGGACAATGTGAGATACAAAAGATTAATAGTCGGCGTGGAAGTTAAGTATGGGCCGGTGAACGGCATCAAACAGTGTGTCGCAACCATAGCAGCAAGCTTTGTTCCAATCGGCAGAATTCCGGTTCAGGGGGTCCCGAGGCGCAGTGAAACTTACGGAAGAAATGAATACCACGTCATTCTCCCCTAACCCGCGACCACGGCTCTCATCCTCCCTGCTAAGGAATTCTGGAGCGGGGTCACGAGGTCCGGCTCGGCCCAGAGCCATTCACGTCTAACCGGTTCTCACAATTCGTCAGCAGTGGCGCGGTGGAGGGGACGCTGTGACATGGCTACCTTGATGCGCCTCCAAACGTCTTCAATGATATTCAGATCGGCACCTTTTGGGGGCCAAGGCAGCCCCGTCAGGCAGTGCTCCTCGAGGAGATACGAGCGTGACAACGCATTTTACACTTGTGCGCTTTCTTGAAAGGCACTGAAATGCATGTTAGCTGGAAACACTGGGCTACACGGCACACGCATCGTGATGGTGGTTCCATTGGAGAATATTTTCGCTAGCAGACGGCCGGAAGAGCGCAGCGGCGCAGTGAGCGCAAGTGAGAATTTATCTCGGCCTCAGGGAGCGGCGTGTTTACGCAGCGATGCGACAGGCGGCGCAAGTAGTACCGTGTGCACAGGCCGGAGCGCTGTTTCAGCTCATATTGTCCGCGATACTACATATAAAACAAGGATTATGACAGCGAGCGCCATTCACAGCTTCAAGTGGGATATACATCTTAGTTATACTTGTGCACCCGACCCGAATCCCCCCCCCCCCCTCCCCGAAATTACTATTCACAATCCTTACACAAATCGCCAAAAAAAAAAAAAAAATATATATATATATATAGCGCAGTAGATGAAACAGCTCCAACCACAATGTTTTCTTTTTTTATGTGTTTCGCTCGCGTCGCTTGAGATCACCCACAATGATAAGACGCGCGGGCCGACAAAGAAACCTGGCGAGTACAGATATGGGTACGCAGCGATGCGTGCCGACGCGAAGTGACGACCTACGTGCGATAAAACGTTTGACAGGTCGACCGACGTGTTGGGTGACCGAATCATGGCCTCGCGATTAGAACTCGCAGCCCCTCGGACGGTTTGACGAAAAGCGCGAGGTGAGGTGCTCGCCAAGGGGAAATACCTGTCAGAATACATTTCTCGAACGCGATTAGGCAAAGGCAGGGCAGGGGAACAAACCAACGAGATGCTGGAACGGAAGCTTAGGAGGACACAGAGAAAAAAGGCTTACTTTCGAGAAGCATTGAGGAATGAGCCAATTGAGCTGTGCCCACAACCTCCGGGGCTGCTCATCCCTGCTCGCGTGGTGCCTCGCCACTTATTAGTCGCAAATTCCATTCTCAGACGCGGCATATCGGATCGATATGAGTTGTACGTAAAAATAAAAGACCCACCAAACCGAAACAAAGCTTCGGCGGCTTTGAAGCAAATGAAGTTCAGGGTGGATTGGATTGGCTCGTGAAATACTTTGCTTCCAGGTGCATAATAAATGCGGAAATAAAAAGTTAATCTAACATTATTAGCAAAACAGTGGCGAAACGAAACAATAAAACGTTTTAACGAAATTAAAAAAAACCAAAGCAAATGTATGAAAATAAAATTTTTATATGCGATACAAAACGTCGCTTAGCCGCGCAGCTACGGCGGGATTTCAGTTTCGGTTTGGAATCGGAAACTGCGTATTTTCGACACCGATTGAATGTCCAGGAGGCGTGAACAATGACGTCACGGACGTAAAAATAACAGCCTTTATTTTGACACCTTAGCTATTTTTACGTCCACAACACGTTTTCTTTGAATGCCGCTGGCTGCATGTGAAATGTCGGTCGCTCGGCGTGTGTGTGGCTGGGTGCTCGGCGGCTTGGCGGTGTCCGCGCTGGTGCGTGTTGTCAACATCGCCGCCTGTACTCGTCGCGTTCTTAGGAACATCAAAATAAGCGTTCTCCATTTGTACCGGAGGCGACAGAGCCCAGCAGCAGTAATTTTGTACGCATTTTTCTGGAGCTGTACTTGTGTGCAATACGGCGGATTATCACCCTTGCATACAATAGCTGCAAAGGCCGTGCAAGCAGCGAGCAAGTAGCCTTGACTGGCATGACTGCACCCGCTGCAGGAGCGCTCATGGCGCGCGATCCAAAGCAACGAGCTCGCGCTTTTAGCACTGTCGTCGAGAGCCTTTTTTTCAGTGTTAAGGGCCACCCACACTAGCGAGAAAACGCGCCCGGCGCGCCGATAAATCGGTTAAGCGGCAAGATAAAGGGCGTGTCTCTGCACGCGCTCGTGGCGCTGACTGTGCTTCGGCGACATTTTGTTACTTGCCGCGATCGGCGTGCCACGCGCGTTTTCTCGCTAGTGTGGGTGGCCCTTTAGTCATAAAAAAGAAATGTAAATATCGCCAAATGTCCCAACAAGACAAAATGTTAAAAAAAAAGAAAAGGAGGCCTCCACTGCGGGTCGAACCCACGACCGCGAGCACGTGAGGCAGGCATGTTAACCGCTAAGCCACGCTACAAGTCCAGAAATCACATTTTGACAGTTCGTTTTTTACGAGACTTTCGGACGGCACTTAACGCGGTGTGCCTTTTTGCTAATTCTTCGCAGCGCACAACAGACAACACACCATCAAAACAGATACACACAAAGAAACAACACTCACACAGCGCTGACTGTCAACTCTCGGATATATTAATCTTCGTTCTTATCTTTCACCCTTACGCACTAAAAAGAACTAAATGTTAACCAAGGAAGAACAGCGAAAGAAAAATAAAAATAAAAAGAAAGGGGAATGATTAATATAGAAAAGAAAGATGGAAAGAAATGGAAGAAAATAAGATCTAGTCCTACTACAGTAAAATTACTGAGGAGGTTTTCCTAAATAATATAACTCTTTTCTTGATAAGCTAATCGACGGGGTACTAACGCATACTCCGTCTAGCAGGTCTATGCTCGCGGCTTCGATGATTTCTCGAGTTAGTTTGTTGTTGCTTCGTCCCAGTACTGTGCAATTGCCCAGAAGGGGGGAACATCCACAATCTCTACAATGAATGCCCAGATGGCCTGAGTTAGCGTTAATGGCGTTGCAGTTATGTTCCCGGAGCCTGTCATTGAGACAGCGCCCCGTCTGCCCAACGTAACGCTTCCCGCACGTAAGAGGGAACGAATATATCACTCCCTCTGCACAGGAAACGAACTTGGTCTTGTGATTTTTCGTGCAGCACTCTGTTCGAATAGGCTGCCCATTCACCCGCTTGCACAGGCTGGAAAGTCTCTGCGGAGCTGAGAAAACCACGTCGACGTTGACTCTGCTAGCTACTTTTTTAAGCTTGTGTGACATGTTGTGAATATAGGGCACTATAACAGGCCTTGTAGTGCGTTCTCTTTTTCGGTAGTTAGAAGCTTCGGCTTGCTTGACCTCCTTAAGTAGGCATTCAGAGACTGAAATTAATATCGACAAAGGGTATCCTGCTGAAACCAAGCGAGTTGTTTGCGTTTTGAAGCTCATGTCGGTCATGTGCACGCAGGATTTCTTGAGGGAGTTTTTTAGGCAAAGTTTTGCCTAAAAAAGTTTTGCCTTTTTGACTCCGGGGCCGTTACTGCTACGGGGCCGCCAATTTTTGACTCTGGGGTCCGCAAGGACAGCGCAGCAGAGGTTGGTCGCCCGGTTTCTCCAAGGGGTATGTGCCGTCGGTGCCGAGAACTAGGGAGGCTCAAGTGAGGGTGGCTGCAACTCCTAGATCGGGGATCACGGGGCATGGACGCCATGCAATTGCTAAATTTTGCTGGGAGTCTATGGGGCAAAGGGCCGTTTTCTTTCCTAACTCAGGTCATAAAGGCCCATTAAGGTGCTTGAATAATTTACACAATGTAGAAATGATTACTTTTCTATTGCCACCAGTTCTGTTACGATAGGTTAAGTATTTTTGTAACGCGAAAAATGGTAAATTCCGCCATCTTGGATGTTGCTCCTTGTCTGGCAACCCTGCCTTCTCCTCTCGACGTTTGCAATTCTCGACGCGAGGAGGAAGCGAGAGAGGCTGCGCCAAGGCGTTTGTTGCTTGCAATGGGAGGAGATAGGAGGAAAGGCGCGTGGAGCAGCAGAGTTGCAACAGAGCGGGCGACTGCTCTCATGCAGGCAACATTGGCGCATATCCTTTCTCGAATACTCTCCCTCAGGCGTCGTCATTAAATTGCAAACGCTCTCCACGTTTTGAGTTGCGCCCACCCTCACTGGAGCCTCCCTACTGAGAACTGCTCCGATTGCAAACCGAAACTTAAAAGCCTGTCGAATTTGTGCGGTTTTTCAGAAAGTCATAAAATACCTCGAGCGCGCCTTCTATCGTTTTGCAATTTGTTAATTCAGTGTTTCTAAATGATTCTCATCAAGATTCTAATTGAAAACATGCCCATAAACTCAATATTTAAAAGATTAATTACGGGAAAATAATTAACAACTTAATCATCGAGAACTTTGATAATTTTCCTAAGTAGGCCCCTGGCCTAGGACCAAGAAGACACGAGCCTTTTTTCTTTTATGATGCGTTCTTTTCGCAATGTCGAATAGACCCTTCCCGAAATTCAATCTGGCCACTTTGATCACTATCGTCATCTGTGGAACGGCATCTGTGCCATACCCATGGCGGCCTTCTAGTGACTGATAAAGGAAGACGTTGAAGATGTTCCTAAGCGGATCTTGCGAGGCCTGTACATTCGGGGGGTTAGTACGACGTGACGTGGGAATGGAACACAAGAGCTACGTAAGCGTTTATTTCTAATAGCTCAGATTCAGTCAATCTGTGGGCGGCACACAATCGGCTTTAAAGCACTTTGGTGTATAGAATTTTCTCGAGGCATCTGAGTGGGTTGGAGCTTTGTTCTGAATGCAGGTTCTTGGTCACCATCGAACTGAAAGTGATCGAGAAAAAACTCACACTGGACAATTCCTCGCGTGCCGTTGACTTGCGAAAGTGGTGGTGCCGATACAAGTTCAATTTCCGCCATGAATATGGCAAAACCTAAACTGCTTTACAAACCACCAGATGGCACTGAATTTTGGAAAGGGTCTATTTGTCCACCTTTCGTGAAACATCCTGTATATATGGATATACGGGGTGTTTCAGAGGACTCAGGCCAAATCGCTCCTGCAAAACTACTCATCCCCCCCCCCCCCCCCCAAAAAAAAGAGGCTTTTGTCGTTTTGGTTTTGGGTCATGGGCCCATTTAGAAAAATTACTAAAGTCCGGGATAATAAACTTGTTAATTATTTTTGCGTAATTATTTTTTAATGTCGTGTTTAAGGGCATGGTTTCAAGTAGAAAATGGCTCAGCATCGTGGAAAAGCAGTAAATCAACAAATTGCAGAAAGATAGAACGCACGCGCATCATTTTACGGCTTCCTGAAAAACCGCACAAATTCGCCAGATTTTTAAGTTTCGGTTTACTATCGGAGTGCATCTCGGCCCGGGCGGCGCCGCGCCGCGTGGAGAGATAGTGCAACCAGCCCCTGCTGCGTCGCGCGATGACAGAGCAACAGAGGTTGGTTGCATTGCGAATTATTCGTGGTTGCTCTTATAAGCAAGCGCAAGGAGAAAATGCACTCTTTTATTCCCATTGAAATGCATTACCGGAAGTTAATTTCCGACTGGTCGCTCTCTGCTTCATACGTGGGTAGTGGTTCAATTACATTAATTTAATTACTGTAATTTAATAACTTTCTTTAAGTTGTAACTGTAATTAATTACTTTCGGCCAAACGGAATTGTAATTTAATTATTTTCTAGCGTCAGTAATTACAATTACAATCAGTAATTACAACTACTTTTGCAAGACTTTACGGTTACGACGGAACCTCTCCGAAAGCCTCAGCGCTCGGTGACACACTCGCCAATCATAGACACCAACTCACACACACGCACAACAAAAACAGTCGCGTTGTTTGTTGTTTTGATGCCTACACTGCGGGCTGAGAGTATCCTCTTTGGAGCCTACCGCAACGGCGCCATGTGGCGCCGTCGGTGTTGCGAGCAGAAAACAGTAGAACAAACATGCTAAAATATTGAAAGAAACAAAATTGAGGTTCAGCTTTTAGCCGAGGTTGAGGTTTTTATGGGTTATGAAGTAATTTTTTGATTTATTTGTTTGCCAGTTTTGTGCGCCCTTTGAGTACTGTCGCATTTTTTTATTATTATTTTCAAGTTCATTTTCTGTTGGTTTTACCTCGAACATTTTTTGCATAAGCATTTTGGAGCTGACTTCGCACCTGTGGATATTGTCACGAGTGATTCGGGAGCCCATATTCGGGTCTTATAAATTTGGAGCCATTGTAA